GGCTCCATCCCCCCCCCGAGATCCAAGGACGGGAGGGTGGGGTCTTGGTGGCGGCGGGCTCGGAGGCGGTTGCGATGGCGGCGGCGGGCTCGGCGGCAGCGGCCGTGGCGGGCTTGGGGGCGGCGGCGAGGGAGGCAGCGGTGACGCGGAGGCGGACTGGGCGGCGGCGGCGACGGCGGTGGTGGGCTTGGTGGGGGGAAAGCGACAGTGGGGGTGGCGAGGGCGGAGAAGGCGCCGGCAGAGGGGGCGACGGCGGCGGCGGGCTCGGCGGTGGCGGCGACGGTGGCGGCGGCGAGGGCGGCGGCGGCGAGGGCGGCGGCGGGCTCGGCGGCGGCGGCGGCGAGGGCGAGGGACGCGCCTGAGGTGCAGGGAGGGCGTCAATACTCACAGCACTGGTGGTTCGGCCTCTAGGAGGCGGGCGGCACCCGAGCGGCTGGCGTATTTTCCGGCCAGGCCGACGAGGGTGAAGGCGTCGATGAGCATAAAGCCGCCCGTGGGCCGCGCCAGGGCCGCGGCGGGTCCTGGCGACCCCTCGAGGGAGGCCAGGGTGGCCAAGGCAGCAGCCACAGCCTGGGAGGAAAAGTGCGCCGCCGACGCGCACTTCTCGTGCGGGTCATTCTCGGAGTTGTCGGGGACGTGCGAAGCTACCGCCTGCGAACGGCCGGTTGGAAGACGTCATGGCGGGCATGTACGACCCTTAAGAACCCGCGTACGACCAGAAGGTCGGCTGTGAGGCGAGGCTGAAGGCAGTCCCAACAGTGGTGGATTTCTGTTGCTGACAGTTGTGGGCGATCCTTCGCGAACTGACGGCAGGCAAGCCGGCAGGTGGGAGGCGGGGATGTGCCGGGTGGATCCCCAAGCGGGCGAGCCGGGCCCGTGCATAGTTCGGGCGCGGGGGGCGCGGGAGCATGAGAAAGACGCACCGACATGCTGGTGGCTACCGGTCTCTTGATTGCCTGATTCTGAGGGAGGGTGTAGAGGATGTAGAGTGTAGAGCGCTGTAGAGCTGTAGAGATGTAGAGCGCTCTGGAGCGCTGTAGAGCTGTAGAGCTCTACATCCGCCGCGTGACGAGGCGCCTGCGTTGTAGAGCGATGTAGAGCGCGATTTTGTTGTAGAGTTTGTTGTAGAGGCTCTACAGCCAAACCGCCGGGAAGGCAGTGACTCAAAGAGGTCGAGCCGCGCTAATGGGGTGTCTCCGAGCTTAGTGAAGCTCTGATGGACAGCCCTGACTATCCCTGACACACAGAGAGTCCCTCTGACGGCACACAACACCCTATAACTGCGTCATGACCAGCCTGCCATGTGTCGCCGGTGCCGCATTCGTCGCTGTGCTTCTTTAGCAGGCGGTGGACTGTCGGCTGCGAGGACGGTCGCATTTGCGCGAGGCGAGGCGAGCATTCAGACGCGTTGCATGCGCCATGACTCGCGCCAGCGCGTGCGGGAGCTCCTGGCTGAGCGTTGAGTCCAGGCGAGTTGCGCTGGCCACTATCGCTACGCCGAGCCGAGCTGACGCGCCGAGGCGCCGGCCAGTCGCAGCCGTGAGGCATGCCATAGCAGCAGAGGCACCTGCCACCCATTGGGCGGGCAGACAGAAGGCCAGGGCAGCACTGGCAAGTGCAACGCGCCTCATGTCGGAGAGCGACCGTGCCTCGTTCGCCGCTTATGATGTAGAGTTTGTTGTAGAGATTTCACGTTGTAGAGCGCCTCTACATCGCTCTACAACGCAGGCGCCTCGTCACGCGGCGGATGTAGAGCTCTACAGCTCTACAGCGCTCTCCAGCACTCTACATCTCTACAGCTCTACAGCGCTCTACACTCTACATCCTCTACACCCTCCCTCAGGCCTGATTTTGACGATTCTCGTTGGACCGTCGCTCGGAGCGAAATCCCAAAAGCTCTCAGCTCAAAGGGGGAATTTATTTGTTTGGGCAGTGTTCGACCGGGCTACTAGGCCTACCTCCTGTATCGGAGTTATGGTCCTGATACGACCTGTGAACGTGAAGAGAGTGGTACCAGCACTGTCGATCGTTACGGCACGCAAGGGGGGCCTCCCGGACGTATGATCCTAGCCCAATAAGTTCCACGGAGCAGATTTGGATTTTTGACAGAATTAATGCACTGCCCCCGCACGATACTAACTATCGTAGTTTTGGTCCCGGTGCCCTTCACGGCACCACACCGCCGCTTGAAGGCCCGAGATTAGCCTAGCAGTGAGTGGGCATCGCCTGCCGGTCGGCTGGGCACGAGCCAAGCACTTGGGTGGCCGTCGACCGAGTCCGAGCGGCGCCTGAGGTGGGTGCCACGGCGTCTGCACGAAGGCGTGGCGGGGTGAGGAGCCAGGAGTGGTGAACACCTCCCCGTCGGGCGCGCGGCGCGCCGGATGGTCCGCCGAGGCCGCCGCCGCCCCGACGGCGGCGATGAGGGCGGCGGGGCCGACCCAGCCGGCGTTTGTCGGCTCCACCTACAGAGAAGCAGCCTCTGTGGGTCGACGATACTAACTCGGTAGTAACGCGGAGCGGTGCTGTGCGGCGCCGAGTCGTGCGCGAGGCGACCTCCTGAGGCTACCTGAGCTGGCAATGGATGCCACCAGGACGCACGGCTAGCAGGAGCCAGTCAGGCATGCCCTGCTGTGGAGCAGAGCCAGCTGGCGCACCGGCGATACTAACTCAGCGCGCCGCGAGAGGCGAATCTGGGCGACTTTGGAGGCGCAGTTCTCGAGCTTGCCGTCGACGATTGATGTCGGGTAAATTGTCACTGCCGTCCGGGAAGGTCTTCTCTCAACAGGCCGAGCGCCGTGGCCTGGCTCGGCTCGCCGCGGGCGCCACGAATTTATCAGCACCAAAACTCACGAGACCTCGATACTAACAAAAACTACGATACAGGAGGTATCAGAACCTGAACAGTAGTGGGGCGGCAGTGGACGCGGTGCTCTTCTTCCCGGCCGGGACACTCGCCTTTGGAGAAGCGGCGGGGTGGGCCAACGCCACGGAGTCGGTTTACGCGAACACCCACCCACGCTTGCCGCTTGGGCAGGGGGTGAGGAGGACCCCCTCCGCCCGCCGAGATGCCGTCAACCGGGAGTGCTCCGCCGCCACGCCCGACTGATGAACCCTCGACACGTCAGAGTGCTCCTATTTGCGCCGACGCGCAATCATCGAGTTTTGAGTCAATAATTATGAAAGGAAAGGGAGAGGGAGAGTTCTAGCTCAGCCAATTGATTCAGCGTGCTCTGAAACGCCCAAAACCGTCGAGTTTTTCGCCGTGGTCCAAACAGAGAGCTTAATATTTTGATTTTCTTGGCCACGGCCACGATTACCCGTCACTCGCTCCAACAGAGTCGCGCTTGTGGAGAATCGCACCGAGGACCTTGCCGAGGCGATAGGCCGAATCACTTTGGGCCCCGCCCCCGCCCCCACCCCTCGGGGTGGGGGCACCCGCCCCTGTCGGGCGCCGCTTGCGGCGCCTGGCAGGGGCACCCCCTGGGTGGGGGCCGGCGATTCCCATGCCGGCTCTCCGCCACAACCCCCGCCGGGAGGGAATCCCTGCTCACAGAAAAGGGCTTCGAGCCCTGTCTCGCGCACGCCCCTGGCGGGCGCCGCGGACCAGTTCCGCGAGCGCTCGTCAGCGGGTGGTGTGCGGTTCTTGCCGTAGTTCCTCTTCGGTCGCCTAGCCCCGGCGCCGTCTGGCGGACGCCTGCGTGTCACGAGTGCGAGCCGCTCGCGGTTCGTACGCCCGCTTGCGGGTTCGAGTGGCGGGCTATCCCGCTTGCGGGATGGCTTAGCGGGTTCGAGCCGTCACACATTGGCTGCCGGGGTGTGCCGAGGGGGGGCTGGGTGGGCGGTAAGCCGTCATTGCCCGGCGCTGCTTGCAGCGCTCTGGGTGGTAGTGGCGGCGCTCCAAGAGTGGTGCTCTTGGGAAGAGGTTCCTCCTTTCCGCTCCCCCCCCGCGAGGCGCGAGACACACACAGAGATAGAGATCCCGAGACCAAGAATCCGCTTTCGGCGCGAATCGAGCTCGGTCGGTCGGGGTGACAAGCAGCAGCACAGCAGCAAGCAGCAGCAAGCAGCAGCAGCCCTGGAACCGCCCCCTCCTTGTCGCGATGCGCTCCCTCCCCGCTCGCGTTCGCCTGTGTCCCTGATCGCCCTTCCACAAGATCGGGTTACAACAGTCGTTTCTGCGCAAATTGCGGATACACCCTGAGTGCCCGGCGGGTGGGAGAACACATGTCGTCTGATGTGTCACTGTGTACGTCATATCAGTCTTGATAACAAGTACGGTCGACCCGAACCGGCTGCCAGACCAGGCGGCTTGGCCGGGGCTTGAGTGGGTGTGCCGTGTGGACGCGAGAATAGCTCCACCGTGTTCTCATGCATCATGGAGGCAACCGATGCGAGTCGATTGGTGTGTGTCGTCGTGGTTTTCGTGTCAGAATACTCACTCACTCAAACGAGTGGCTGTCGAGTTCTTTGTGCTCTTTTGCTCATGACAGGCCCCTATCCAGTCAAACCGGAACTATTCGTCTGAGACACACATCACAGGGTGCCAGAACAATCAGCCCCCCCCTCCTGCCTCCCCAGCACAAATGCGCACTTTCCGCCTCACATGCCATGCAGCGCGCCCTCGCTCATCCGCCAATGTGTGCAACGGAATGATGACGTGCTCCTCTGGAGACTACTTCCCTTGCAGGGTGGGTGGGGGTGGGAGAGCTGCGTCTGCGTCCGGGCCTCAAGCCACCTTCTTCTCCGGGGCCTCCGACTCGCGGCCGGTGATAGTCTGTCCGGTTATCCACGACGGCACCTGCCGAAAGAGGTCCGCGGGTGATCCGCAAGGGCCGGCAGGCGCGCGGTCGGCGGCGGCGGCGGCGCGCCCATTTCATCTGAAAGCCAAAGAGGAAGAGCAGAGTGGGGTGGTAGACGAGCTGGATGTAGGCGAGCCGCGCGGGAAGCACCGTCTCGGACGCAAACACGAGCGCGGCGTGCAGCACACAGCTAGCAAACTGGGCGAGCTGGAAGTTCGTGAGCTGGCTCTTGAGCGGGTTGTGGAGACCGAGCGAGGTGACGAGGTAGTGCGTGTACCTGCGAAGCAGGTGCGCCTCTCCCCTCAGCCGCCTCCGAGCTGCTCCCGGGCCGCCTCGCGTCTGGGGCACACCACGCACATCAACACGTGCGTCACGCTGTTGATGAAGGCGCCCCAGACGCAGGTGCCGCCGCCCCACCCCTTGCGCAGCAGCGCCCCCCAGATCATGCCCACGGTGGCGTGGTGGAACACCTGCAGAAAGGACACCTGCCGAAAGCTCTTGCTCCCTGCAAACACGTCGTGGACGCGTCAACGGCGTGTCGCGCGACGTTCCGTGAATGCTGGCGTGGCGGTGCAGGTGAATGTGGAGCTGGAGCCCCGTCGAGCACAGCGGTGGGTTTCGCGGGAGTTTGTAGCGAGCGGTAGAGCGTCTCTCACCAATCATGAGGAAGGTGTCGGTCCAGTCCACAAACTTGCTCAAGTAGTGCACAAACATGAACCACTCGGTCTTCTTGTCGCGCTCCGTGTTCATCGCAAACGGGTTGAGGCCGAGCACGTCCACCTTGGGCGCGAGCCCCCACACCATGTAGGAGCACATGACAATTTGAAAGACGTTGTAGACAGGCTGGACATACTGCTTTAGGAACGGCTTGATGGATGCGCGCTGCGACATGAGGCGGCACCCCGCCATGACCGCGCACACGTAAGCCAGCGGCGCGATGTACACCATCGGCCAGGAGAGCAGGGCACCCATCACCGCCGAGTCGTGGTAGATCGTGCCCGGCGAGTCCAGAGGCTGCAGGGCGTAGCACATTGCGGCCGTGAAGGAACCCACGATGACGGCTACCCTGCCAAGGCCCGCACTCTGGTCGATGGTGCTGGCGGCGGCGGGCTTTGCGCCCGACGCGAGGCCGCTCGCCTTGCACATGACGGCCGCCGGCGCGGCGGCACAAGGTTGTCGGCCGATTTTGGGGGGGATTCTAGTTTGCATGAATCTGCCGCGTGTTTTCTTTTATTCAGGCACCTTACAGTTCTCGGCGACCCTCACTTCTCCTGGGAGGGAATCCAGGCTCACAGAAAACGGCTTTAATTCGGGCGCCTGTGTCGACGTGCGCGACGACGCGAGCCAACACAAAGCGCGACCGAGGCAGCCTTGCCCTGCCCAGCGAGCGCGCGTCTGTCCCGCCGTCACTTCTTGTGGCGCCGGCCGCCGGACGGCTTGCCCTCCTGCTCGTCGGGCGCATTCTGCTGGATCCTGACCAGGCGCGGCCCACCGCTGTCGCCTCCCGCGTCGTCTTGCCGGGCGAGGATGTGCTGCTTCAGCCTCCGCCGCTCGGCAGCCGCGGCCTCGTCCATCCGAATCACCGCCTTCGCGAGCGGCGCGTCCACTGGCACCGCCACCTGCGGCGCCTCCACCTTTTGCTGCTTGCCGCCGCCACTCCGGAACATGACGCGAAGCTTGAGGTCGCCTGGGCCCTCGCCCCCGCCGCCGCCGCCACCGCCGCCGCCGCCGCCGCCGCCGCCGCCCCCGCCGCCGCCCGGGCGCAGCAGCGTCATCGGCACGCGAGGCGCCGCGTCGGCGCTCGCTCGGGGGCGCTCCTTGCGCGTGTCTGCCATCATGCTCGCCATCTCGCGCTCGAACGCCTCCGCCTCCTCCGCTGTCGCCTCGCGCCGCGCAGCTGCCCGCACGAGCGCCACCTCCTCCTCCTCCTCCGCACCGTCGGCCTTGCCGCCCGCGTCGGCCTCGTCCGCCATCTCGAGCTCGGCGAGCTCCTGCGTGGCGGCCAGGGGGGGGGGGGGGGGGGTCCCCAAAAACCGCCGGGAGAGGGCGGCCCGACAAAAGGGCTTGGCCAAAGGGGGGCCCGGGGGGG